GTAAAAACTGTGTGACACCCTCAGGCTGAGAGAATTGGGCACCCGGGTGTTTCAGTGCTCCTAATCTCACTCGACTTGGCTGTTAATCTGATTTAACACAGGCTCATTTTTCACAACAATGACAATACACAAATTCCTGTATTTCCCTTTTCCTCTCCCGAGTTCCCAGCTGACTCTGGCAGGGACAGGCAGTGCTGATCCATTCCCAGGAATTCCCATCAGGTCTGAGGGATGCTGCCAGGCTGCAGAGTGTGTCTGAGAAAGGGATTTGTGCTTCCAGGCTGCTGTCATTGGTGCTGACAGGATTTCCAGCCCAGGGAAATTTGGTTTATGGATGAGGGCTGGCCCTCTGCCTCTGGAATTGCTGTTGAATGAAATCCCCAATATTTCTGAAGGGATGGAGCAGCCCAGGGTTCCAGTCCTGCCTCAGGACACTGCAGAGCCCAGGAAAAGCTGCTTTTATGGCTGCTGTGCTCCAGGTGAGCACTGGAGTTGGGCAGAGGGATTTTCTGCAGCTCTGGACTGAGCTTCTGGAAAACCAGAGGGAAGCAAAGAGTGCCTGAGCTTTGTGTGTTTTATATCCCCCCGTGTGGGGTCCCTTCTGTGCACAGAGAAATCCTGAACTGCTGGGGATGGGGAATTGACCTCTGAAAAAAAGAGTTTAATTATGTGTTCATGTGCCAGCCTGCTCTGGGAAGCAATGAATTAATATTTAAAAGGAGCCCTGGACTTTTGGGGCCACACTAAGGTGGCCTCGTGGTTTGAGTGAAGAGCACAAAGGAAGTGACACTGGAAGGAGCTGGATGCAAATTCCCAAAGGCAAAGGATTTGCTCTGTAAAGCCTAAAATAGACTCATTTCACCTGCAGGATACCAGCAGCCCTGACCTGCTCCTAGAATTTCATTTTTCTTTATTTCTTGGAAAGACTTGACCCTCACTTCCCTCCAAAGTTTATCCACAGAGCTGCAGCACTTTTTCAGTGTGGCACCTTCCCTTCCTAATTAACACCCTAAGGTCATTAAAAGCAGTTTAGGGCGGCTCAGAAGTGCCAGGGGAGCTGAGCTGGGAGCAGAGAGGGAGCCTTGGACACAGGCAGAGCAGGGCAGGGCTGTCACTCCTGTTCACATCTCTGGTGCTGGGTGTTTGTGTGAATGTGACAGCTCTGAGTGACCTGGGGGTGCTCACCTTTAATGCTGGGTGTTTGTGTCACTGTCACAGCTCTGAGTGACCTGGGGGTGCTCACACCTCTCTGAGTTACCTGGCTGTGCTCACCTTTCTTGTACCAGGTATTTGTGTCACT